TGTTGAATGTATGCAATATGGATAATGAAGTGTAAACTGGTGTGCAGGTTATGCAGGTTATAAATATAGGTTATTTGAAAACAGTGAACTTGTGATATGCTACATGGACAGCCATTGTCATATCATAAATGCATATGTCCTCTCACTAAATCTTGTAGTTTGAAAATAATGTGAAATATACATTAACCAAGAAATTCTCTCAGTTTTGAGGCGCTCTCCCTCACTTCCTCCACAAGCAAGCCTCATCACACCAGCTAAATGATGCAGTCTTTAACGAACAGTAAGCATTTCCTTTTTGACATTTCCCAAACTCTTGAGATATAGCTTCATTGCACGTGACAGGCCAGTCTTATTTTTGGTGTTTCAGAGGCCATGGGGTTGTACTTATTAGCATTCCTACTATGTAATGTTGACTCTCACTGGCAGCACTATCAAAGGGCTCTACTGGGCAAAAGCTGAGAAGTTTAAAAAGACAGAGGTCAAGAGAAGGGTCAGGCCACTGCAGCAGCCCTCATACATTCCTATGGAGGAAAACAGAAACATTTAAGCATGTTTGTGAAACTTTCCTATGCTTAGTTAAACTGTAGAGACACTCCCACTTATTTACTGTGTCTGAATCTCTCTGGAGCAGTCTCTCACTTTACTGAGATTTTTATACCGATCAATATGTAGTATGTCAACATTTCATAATACCTCTCACTGGGGTATAATTATAGTGTTGAGGTATTAGAGTTGATGGCAAGTAAGGATATTATCTGGAGATATTTGTTTCTGTATTTCATCCTACAAGACACAGGATCTCTTTCTGTTCCTCTCACACATTCATCAGGGAGCTTGTCTCAGCCTATAATCCAGCCAGACCATTGACAAGACATTTGTCAGTGTCAGAAATGTTCGAGTATGGAAGGGAATATGGGTGGATGTTCTGAAAGGTTATCTGTATTGGAACATTAAACACATTTAGACAAATGCATAAGGAGGGAAAAATGAAAATAGATATAATTACTGTTCAGTGAACTTTACAATACCATATCTGAGAAATCTGAGATTCTCTGCATCTTGAAGCTGCAAGATATCTGCAGGGCATTCATTAGTATCACTCACCCAAACCCACTGTACATCTCTATCTCTTTCCAGATTATTTCAGATTTGGAGGCCCAGTTGTCAAATCTACGTGAGGAGGTCCAGGTGGCCCACATCCAGCATAAACAACAACTTGCTGAGATGGCATTGCTCCGGGAGGAGGACAAGCAAAGGGCATTCAAGGACAAGGAGACATCCCTGGACAGGCTCCGTTCTGACATGGAAGGCATCCGCAGCGACCTTGAGAGAAGCCACCAGCAGGAGAAGGAATCTGCTCAGGAAAAGGTGGGTGAAATGTAGAAAATATCAGATCCCCATAGCATTTTAAATCAGTCTCTGTTGTCTGTATGGCTGTAAACGAGAGTGGAGACTTGACTCTGCAGGAAACTGTACCTGGGGTTAAGAAAGAAGGGATGAAGTGGCTTTGTCAGGCATGTTTGGTTTTTAGAAACTTGGCAGTGCACAAAGAGTGAGTTAATAAGACAGATGTCAGCTTGAAGCTGTTCGATCCAGTAGAGCTAGATGGGGTTTTGTTAATGTTGTTTTAGCAATATTCCTACCACAGTCATGCTTTTTTAAAATCCTCCTCTCACTGACTCCCTGCATGTCTGCCTCTGTTTATGACTGGGACTTGTTAGTCTCACTTTAAAGCCTTTTTCAGTTTGCCTCTTATACACACACACACACATCACTTACACAGACTTACATTCATTTCCAGGAGATTTATCCTCACCTTATCCAAAGTCAACACTTGCTCTAACCTTACACCCCATCCTTTTCATAAAATTCAACAGTGTTGTGGGGACCAGCCTCCTGTCCCCGCGAAGATAGTAACTCATGGAGTTTGGCCCACAAAAATATAGAAAATACAAAGGCCAGACACACACACACTCATAGTGATGGCAGTATGCTACCTTTTGAAGCACTGGCCTGACCATCGACAACTACTTGGAGTTCATTGTCTTGCTCAAAGACACTTAGACATGTGGGACAGTAGAGACTGAGGATCGAACTGCCACCTGAGAGGATTCACCAGTGTAGCAGAGTTTCACTGCTTTGGCATGCAGAGCAGCTGAACAGATCAGTACATCTTAATATTTTCACATCCCATCTGGTGCTAATCTTGTGCACATCCTCTCAGATGTATTTCGTTGCCTTGTACTTGTACATGGGTAATGACAATAAAGTTGAATCTAATCTAATGTACCCTTAAACAGAGAGTTACATAAAGTAAATACTAAGTCTTTTGGTTGACCCTCTTATCATCGTAAGTTATGTTTTGAAATGTACACTAGTAACGGGATTGGACTTAAGGATCAGTCACAGTGTGGGAAGCCACTGGAGCCATTACCTGGCTTTATTCTTTGCTATCGTGGTGAACCAGGAAGTAGTTCATTTAGAACTTCAGAGGTTTTCTCTCTTTTTTCTGTCTTTCTGTTAAATTTGCTCCCATTGCCACTACAAAAACTGGACCCATGGCTGGAAAATCACCCATAATCTTGTGCTGGCCTAGCAGGAAGCTGACCTAAGGTGGTGTTGATCAGAACCTAATCCCTCAAAGAGAGCATTTTTTCATTAGACACCATCTCGCGCCACATGCTTAGCATTATCCCAAGAATGCAGGGACCTCCAAAGCATCCAGGCAGCATTTTTGACTCCATATGGCCCACAGAACCAGGGGTACTGAAGGTAGAGAGATCTGAGGAAAAGCATGTGCTTATTACAGGGTAATCCTCATTTGAAGAAATCTGAAAGCTGCTTCTTATCAGTCCCTTTTTGCATTTTAGTTTCGAAGGTTGTTTTACGGCCAAACCTTATTTTATCTTTTTGGCACACTTCAGTTACTCTCTGTCTTCCCTGTTTTTGCACACAGGGTAGAAATAATGAGTTGTTGGGGAATCTGGAGTAGATTCAAAGCAGTGAGGCTGAATGTTGAACTCAGACTGATAACACTATCAGCAATGTGTTTAGTTTCTTTTTTGTCAGCTAAAAATGCATGTTTAAAAAAATGATTTGATTTGATTTGATTTATTTATTCTTTCAAGCATGTAAAGACAGTTGATATATCAACACACATAATTTTACACATATCCAACAAATGCTAATCCAATATCAATTTGCTTATACCTAGTACATGCTTGAATGGAGTAGGAAGAAGTCAGACTTATCCAGTCCTACCCCATGAATACAGCAGACAAGAAGGATCTAATGGTACTTACTGATCTCTGGTCAGGTTCAGGTGATGAGCCCTTCTCTGCAATTCTTCTCCTGTAAGACAGAGTCCAGAATTATTTCTGAAAAACAGTTGCTATTTTTAAAAACATATCATCATGTTTAATGTTAATATCATAAAGCACAGACCACACAATTCCTCCTGAACTCCACATTTTTAAAACCTAAATTCCTTAGATTTCTCTAGATCTTACAGTGATACTTCTCTGTCAGCAACAAAGTGCATTTAAATTACGATTTTACTACATATCATCTCATAATACTGAGGAATAGTGAGAGTGATGAGTACATGAACTTATTCTTCAGGTGGCACAACAAAATCCATTGCGACCAACATTGGGGTTTGCTAAATCTACTGTATGGCAACTGTGTCAAGTTTCACTTTTCTGTAGTATATGAAACAAGATCTGAAATTCATTCATATGACTCAAGTGCCTATTTTGAGACGTACTGAATCGAAGAGTAATATATGATGTGTCGCTACCTCCTTGCTAACAGGGCACTCATCTCCTCCATGAGCCCTCCTCCTCCAGGCAGAGGGCCGTTGCCTCTGGCTTCAGATTTGGCCCCTCCAGCCCCTGGCATGGCTGCTGCCAGAGCGGCCGCCGCCT